CCTTACAGTCATGAAATAATTCACAACCCATTTTAAGTGATAACTACACTATACAAGAGGGGTGCACTGATAAAGATTTTTTTGGCCAATACTGATGGCCAATTATTAACCAGCCGTATCAGCCAGTACCGATCCAATCCTGCTTGGCACAGGCACTGTCAGGCGGTGACACGTCCTGACTCCCCCTGGGCATCCAGAGGGGTTGGGGCAGCTCTGCATCTGGACTGCCTTTCTAGGCAGATCAGGCAGTCGCAGCTTCTTGCATCTGCCGCTGCTGCTGGCCCGAGCCCTGCGGCACTGGTGGGGACACACACTGCACAGCCCTGACCGTGCGCCTGCTCTGGGCTCACCTGCTCATGCTAAAACAGCAGCAGCGGCAGCTGCCAGCCAGAAACTGTTGCTCAGTGCAGGGGAAAAGTGTCCCTATCCCCCTCGCTGCTGCCCAGTACTCCCTGCTTCAGCCGCCCAACCAAGGCATTGGGCTGCCCTGTGGTTCTGCTACTGTCACTGCCACCTCTGGGCTGCCCATGGAGCAGTGATGACAATGCAGAGCAGATGCAGGGCAGCTCTGCACGGGCTCCAGGCAGCTGTACCAGTGAGCACTGGGCAGCAACAACGGGGAAAGGCCACATTTTCTGCCCAGCCAGCGCTGCTGCTGCCACAGTTTAGCGCAAGCAGGTGAGTCTGGAGCAGGTGCGGGGTCAGGGCTGGGCAGCAAAGGTCCCCACCAGTACTGCAGGGCTGGGGCCAGCAGCAACACCAGGTACAAGAAGCTGCTGCTGCTGTCTGGTCTGCTTAGAAAGGATGTAGCAGGCAGCAGGATGTACCACAGGTGGGCGGTGTGGAACAGGCACAGGGCATGCTGGGCTGGAGCTGAGCCTGGGTTCTGGCTGATCCACTCCTGCCGGGGTGAGTCTGGAGTGGACACAGGGTGGGACTCCGCACTGCTAGGGAGGCACTGCAGGGCGTGCAGGCACCAGGCTGTTGTAGGGCAGGGGCAGGTGCTAACCAGCTCAGGGGATGCACATATGGGCTCCCATGCACACCCCACCATACTCACAAACCCTCCCCTGCAAACCACACAACCACACCCTCCCTCACATCCCCCCACACCCTTCCCCACATGCACTGCCCACACACCCATGCACCTCTAGTGGGGGGTCCCACTCACTGCTATGCACCCACACCCCCCGCCCACACACACACTCCATTCCCACCCCCCACACATACCCCCAGCCACCCTCTGCCTCCACACACCCCACAAACCCCAAACCAACCCACACACCCATCCAAACATCCCCACAAACCCCCACACCCACCCACATCCACACATCTGCACAGCCCCCAACAAACCCCACACTTCCTCCCAGATCCCCTAAAATATACAAGAGTAAGTCTTCATTTTGAGCTATTATGTAATCACCCCTATATACACAACGCAAACACACACAAATCAGGGAAATAAATATTTTAAATAAAATTAAAATACATTATTGTGAACGTTTGATTTTTAGTATACAACTTGTTTTTTTTCCAGTTGCAAGATGGCAAACCTCCTTCCCAAACACTACTTCCAGGACAAGGGGAGAGACATCAGGTGGCAAAGGTCACAGATTAGGGAGTGGGACTTCTGCCAGCAAACATGGGCAGGGCACCTGTCAAGGGGCAGTGCTGCCCTTGCAGCCCTCGACAGCTCGCCAGAACCTGTTAAGCAGCCCTCCAGTCAAAATAATTGCCCACCCGTGCGATAACCGATATGCAACCTGGCAGCTTGGAGAGAAGCATCCAGCCAGCAAGCCTCAGTGTGGGGTGAGGGCAGGCTGCTAGCTGTGGGCTCAGGGCCAAGGGTTGTGCCGGTTTCTTCCTGGCAGTGGGGCTGGGCCAAGGCTGCGCTTGGGGCGGGCGGAGCCAGAGCTGGGAAAGGGGAGCTACGGGGTGGACTACAGCCACACAAAATTCCCCGTAGCCCTTCCTCCCAGCACTACCATTACCCACTCCGAGCACAGCCCCAGCCCAGCCCCACTGCCAGAAAGAGGCTGGCGTAGCCCCCAGGTCCAAGCCTGCAGCAGGCAGTCTGCCCTCGCCCTGCGCACAAATACTGGGGGGGCACATTTCCCCCCCTCATGCCTCCCCCTGGGTGCACACAGCGGCAAGAGCCACCCCCTGGACAAGCCACCCACAGCTCTGCCCTGTGCCCCACCCCACCCAGACAGCACCAGCCCCTGCCCTTGATCTACTCCCTCCCTCACCATGGGGGCCTCAATTGGTGCCTCGCCTTTCCCCAAACAGACTTATCGGCCAAACGCTACTTTCCAAACTGCTGGGCTGCATTCCTGGCCGCATGCACGCATGTGGCATTTATCGGTGACATTATTGGCCACATTGGCCATTAAAGCTGATTGCTGATAATGTCAATTTTCCTTTTATTGGTACAGATACGATACGGATTGATATGTCGGTGCACCTCTACCATATAACACACACATCTTTCTGGATTATTTCAAATATTCCATTTGTAATGCTACAATATATTACTCAGTAGACCAGTGATTCTAAACCAGCGTGCCATGGCTGTCTGGGGAGGAAGGAGGAACCGCAAGATCTCATTAAGGCTGCCTAGTTCCTGTATGGAGAGGTAAAAGCTCGCTTCCTCTGTCTGGCTTAGCAGCTTGATTCATCCCTTTCACGCTTCCCATGCTCCTGGAACCTGCAAGAGGAGCTTGGGGGTCACTGCTGGTACACAAGACCTCACGGGGTAAAGGTGGCCCCTGCTGCAACATTAGCAGCAGGGGCCACCTTTACCCCTCAGGTACAAACTGGAGGCTAGGAGGGGACACACAGTGGAAAGAGCATAGCATGGCAGGGTTAAGCCCCACCCCCACTACCCTCAACTAGATCAGTGGTTCATAACCTTTTTAGTCTCAAGACTCCCTCCACATCTCTTTTCTGAATTTAGACTAACTCAACGATTCTCAATGGGGCTGTTGCAAAATTCAGAAGAGTTATGGAGGGTTGCCTTGAGCCTAAAAAGTTTGACAGCCACTGAAATAGAGGAAGATAGGTTTAAGTAGATGAAAGAAGTACTTGAGTTAAAGGTAGCTAGCTCCTCTATAATCAGCATTTCACACTGAACTCAGGTACTGGGAAGTGACATGATAGGACAGGCTCCCTCTCATCCTATTGGCTGCTAAGCGATCTGTAGGTGCAATCAGACGAGATATCAACCTCCCTGAGGATGTGCTGCTGGGCAGAGCTCCCAAGAAAGATACTGCAATTAGAGAAAGATTCACAAGGCTGAAAGACGTTTGTTTCCTCCAGTCTCTGGGGGCAGCTGTCTACAACACAGAAGGCTCTGACAGACAGATAGCTACCTCTCGCTACATTTTAATTAACTGGAGACTGCGTGCATCAATACTTTTTCCCAGCAGGTCGACATACTCCTTGCTAGTCTAGGTTTGTTTGCAGTTTGTTAAATAGCTTGCTTTCTTGTCCACTTTTATTTAGGTTCTCCAGCTTGGGGGTTTTTTGCACATGGTCACCATTGTGACTGCAGCTGTAGCCTTTGTTGACTCACAGATGGCTCCTATCCACTAAACATGGGCACGAATCAAGGTTTGGTTTTGCATTCACAGTTTTCCTAAGTTCGATGTTCAGTTCAGTCTCAAACCTGAACAAAAAGACTTGTATACCTCAGGTCCAGCTCACAGACAACAACATATACTCCATGTCTAAAGCAGTCATGGATTCTAAATTTCTAGCTTTCACCACTGCTCCACTGTTATTTAAGGTGCTTTTAAAACTGGCTGTCAGTGTTTCAAATACAGACTGTCGCATATAAGGGGGCTGGAGCTGAGTTGATCTTGCAAGCTGACTCCCCAGAAGGCCAGCAGAATCCCTTATCAGACTCCTCAGATGACTATCAGCCTCCGATTCAACTAGAATTAAGTCAACCACCTAGCTATATCTTCTGACATTGACACAGAGAACTTCTAATTTTCAGCAATCAGTTTAGTTATATTGAAGAAATCATAATCCTAAAATCTTGGTTACGGTTAATTTCTCATAAAACTACCACTTGATTACCTGCTACTTACATAATTATTTTCTAAATCAGCATCCAGGCAACAAAGCATCTCTCCAATATTCCAGGAGTCAGGAGCAAGTAAAAAAAACTCTCATGTTTGGCTCATCTTTCACACGCAATTCACATGGCTTTTGGAATCCAAGATTACTGGCATTTTTCATCAACGTAGGAGTGTCATAGGCATAGGGCACAAAAGAAAAGGTCTCTACCCAGAGGACCTGACCTGGAAGCTATGGCTTCAGTCTCACCTGTCTTGCTGCTGCTGATGCCAATGCATTCTGCTTCAGGTACAGAGGAGCAGCCACGTTCCACAGTTTTTCCTGAAGGGCCTACAAAAAAAAAACCCAACCAAACCAAACCATGGACAATTCATAATTAGCTAATACACTCTACTGGGAATATGAAGTGCTCAACAGATTTAAGAACAAAGACTAGATAAGCTTGGTGTTCTTCCCATACAACCCCTCTGTGCTGGTCCAACAGCAGCACTGACTTCTTCCTCAAGAACGTGTCAGCATCATGCTGTGGTACCCTCAGGAATAAAAATATGGTGGGGGTCACAGAACTCCAGATTTTAGGCACTAAGAGCCAACCTCAAAAAATTCTCAGCTCCAGGTATCCCAGAACATTTTTGTCCACCCCCGCAAGAGGCCAAGGAGGTGATAAATAAGCACTAACAGCAACTTATTCATTACAGACAGCAAAAGTAAGAGGTAGCAAGGCTGATGTTCTGCCCAAACCCACTGCCTCCATCCCACCTCCAAACTCTTTTTCCTTTCCATATTGCTGAACAGGAATTCCCAGGAAACCAGGTTTCAGAACACGCAGAGTATACACACCACCTGAGTTAGCTCTCAAAATCCTGGTCCATCACCTCCAAAAAGAAGAGAACACCTACAGTTCTATGTCAGGAACCCTGTCAGCCCAGAGAGATTGGGAAGGTACGAGCCACTTCTATTTTGTGGGAGATAATACCCTTTCCTGACATAGTATTTTCCAGATGGAAGGGGTTGGCTTGACACACAGGGTTTTCACTTTGTAATCTATGTAGGAATATAAATGGATGGTGTTTCTGAACTGTTTATGGTTTTTATCCAAATTATTACGATTATTATTACAATGTTTTTCTTTGTGATCAAACTTCTCATTTAAGCACAGTTCCCTTGCCTGAGCCACCCAGTTCTTACAAACAAAGCAACAAGTCTTTGTCAGAAGCACAAGAAAGTATCCTCTTAGCCCCTGTGTACCTGTTCGCTCCAATTACTCTCTTCGTAAAGAAGAACGAGTCTCAAAATGACTCCCAAATCTTGATTTTCTGCATGGATAGCACAAGCTGCTTCTGCAAAAAGTTGCTGAGTCAGCAACTGACTAGTGTACTGACCTGTAACTGTGCTTATGTAGAATATCTTTGGAGTGAACATGAGTCAAGGACTTGCTAGCTTGGTATAAGAAATTCCAACTTGTAAATTCACTCTGAGCAAAGAAACTGATTTCCACCTAACTTTCATAGCAGCGCTGTATTTCAATAGGTAGTCATGCTAGTCTTCTGGGAAACTGTTTACAAATTATTCATGCTTTGCATTTATATAGGTCACCTTCAAAGCAAAAAAACCCTAATTTTCACATCATCCCTGGAAGTCTGGTAAACCTCCTTCCCATTCTGAAGAATGGAAAATGAAGCAAGAGTACAAATTCCCAAATGCAACAAGAACATGACCTGGTTATCAATAATGGCTCCTGATGAATCAGTTTACCTGCTGTCATTTAAAAAAAAAGATGGGACCACTTTTCAATAACCTAAGTGAAATTGGGCTTGCCTGAGTCTGAAGTATCCTTTCTGCAAAGGTGCTGAGGGTAATTTTCACCCACCACCAGTTCGACCAGTTTTAAAAGCAGTTCAGCAAAAGCACTTGCTGACAGCCATGAATAGGAAAATGTAAATTTCCTATTGAACAAAGCTTCTCAGTGATCTTATCTGCACTCACATGTCAGCCAGTATAGCTGTATTGTGCAAACCCCAGCACAGACACATTTTTACACTGCAGATCACAATGCAGACCACACATGCCAATGTAAACCAGATATATACATGAGGGAGTTATGAATGCAGCTGTACTGGTAGGTGAAATCAGTGTAGACAAGGTATAAAGATGATTTGCCAAAGCCACAGTGGGGAAGCAGTGTCAGAGCCGAGTTAAAAACTCCCCAGTCCCAGGCCAGTGCTTGGAGTACCACTGCATCTGAGATTACACCGTAAATCAGTTTTCCTGAAGCAGACCTTAGGAATTGTTTGATCCACTAACAGGGAGAAAATGTGAAATATGCAAGAGCTGCTTAGCAGGCCACTGTGAAATGCAACAGCTGGTTACAACAGGATTCTAGCTCTCAGAAATGCAGAGGAAGCCAAACCTTGATGAGAAGCAGCTGACACCGAAGGTAAGTTGCAGTGAAGTCTGCCACCCCTGCCAGTTCTGACTGCAGTTCTCCAAGCCTCTGGAGGTCACTGGACCAGAAACAAGAAAAAGCAAATATCACTTTCATGATGACGATGAAAATAAATCACCATAAATGCCAAATCTCAAAGCATTGCAAATCCTACAGCAGTGGTAATTCTGATGTTACCTACTCCTGTGCCTTGTCTCTGCCCAGCCCCACAAGCAGCAGTAGGAAAACACACAGTACAGATCAGCCTATACCTTGGGACCTGCTCACTTCTCTCCCCTTCCTGAAAGCTGACACGAGCACAGCAGGAGAGGCAGTTAGTCTGTCAGCCTGCATTACTCTGCAGCCCTATGGGAACTGTATAGTGTAGCAGCTTCAGATTTAACTCAAATGCTCCAGATTTTTTCAGAGCAGCAAACAGTCCATTTGTATTAATCAGCTGGGAAATCTCACTACTGGTACTGGCTAAAATAGATGATTTGGAACATGCTGGTCTCATGTAACCTGTTATATTTGAAATATAGCTGCATTTTTAAAATGTGGTTTACTTTGCAAGTCTGATGTACAGTCTACAAGATATGGTTACATAATGTAATACATAACAAGTAACTACACAAATATCAGTGGAGCAGTAAGCCATGTTGGCTCTCAGAATAAACTGGGCAATCTAAGAGAACATGCAAGGTTTTACTGCTCCAGATTTTGTGACATTTTAAACCAAATCTAGGTTTCTAGCCAGAAAACATCCATGTCTCCAGTTCTATAGAATTCCAAGGAATAAACAGAGCCCATCTCCTTGTCATTTGTTCTGCATTCTGCTTTGCAATGTATTATTTTCAACTTTATCTTTTAAATCAGCATTGTGGTTCCTTGCTTGACCCCTACAGTAGGCATCTTATAACAATAGGTTGCAGGGGCTTCATTTTAATTAAACATGCTGTTCATGAAATAGTTCCCAGCTTAAGGCAGTACTAAACATGCCATTTGTTTTGCCATTTGCTGTAAATTTGTAAAGCCTCTATAAGAATCCCAGTCTCTGCAGCCATGAAGGATCCTTCCCACACAAAGCAGCAGCTCCTTCCTTAGACGCTGCCACATAAATCCAACTTGGGGCACACAGAGCCATTCACGCCCACCCTTGCCATTTTAGAAGAAAGAACCACATACTCCTTGTGGACCATTCCCCATGTCCTGCTCAATGAGTGCTTATGTTCTGAGTGGAGGAGAGCTGCTTTCTAACTAACAGTCAGCCAGGAAACTCCTCCTTCTGTGCTTTGACAATTCAGTTAATGCTCATTTCTATAGCAACATTAATTAAGTCTCAACACCCCTACAAGGCAAGCAGAGTTCTGAGTCTGCAGATGGAAGAACTGAGGCAGAGGTTAAGCAACTGGCTAAAAAGCCTCTCTCTCACCCCACCCACATGGCCCATGCTCTAACCACCAGCAAAACTGCTGCAGTTAGAGCTGTGAGAACCAGGAAAACATGCCACTTCACTGGGCTGTACATGACTTCTCTACCTAATACTAATGGCAAGGGAGGAGGGAGTCTTCTACTACTTCTTCCCTTCCTTCCCCCTACCCAATAGTCAGGGCAGCAGTCTCTTGTACTCCCCCAGAAGACTTGTATTACAATCAAGTTGTTTTAATTTGTTCATGGGGGCTTGGGGGTGGTGGGGATTAATCAATCAGGAGATGAAATGGGAGAGGTGGCACAAAACCTCTAGTTCCAAGCTCTACTGCATCTTTATCTAAACTAAGGCAGGCCGTGGGGTACAACAACTTTGAAAGTCAAAGATCATCCCCAAAATAACTGTAATGGGGGGGAAAGGGCCAGACCATTCAACGACACTGATTGGTGGGAAGAAAGCCCACCAGAAGTGCTACTTCCTCCACCTCTCCGCCCCTTCTGGGCATTGATCTCTGGATTTTGTGGCAACTAAAACTGGACAAGCAGAGGTAGGGATGCAGACCTTAGGGTCAACCTCAAGGTTTCACACAAACAGAAGAAAACTCTGAAGACAACTGATCTGCATACACAGCATGGCCACTCTAAATACAAGATAGCTGCTTAGTTTCCATGCCAATAGTGGTAATGGGGTGGGAAACACCCATTACATTTTATATAACCTAAGTACTGTTCATCAAATTATTCTCTCCAGCAGAGAGCTCAGTCTAAGAGCCCTCAGAAACTGGGAAACTAAACAACAGTACTGGGAATCAAGGAGCTATTTCATAAAACCTGGGAACTAGTTTCCTTTTCCCTGTCACAAGAGCCAGTACACCTCACCGTATGGTGAATTCGAGCAGTTCCTGTGTGCCCTGTGGGTCCAAGTGCTGAAGATTGTAAACTCGCTCAAGACTCTGCTGCAAGAACTGCTGGGAAGGATCTTCATGCGGTGTAAGGCTCTGGGACACAGGGGAGGACACCAGCTTTCTATCTGGTAACTGAACAAAAGGAAACCAAAAAGTCTTAAGTCCAGATAACAGGATCTCAAAACGTGTGTCCAAAATTAAACAAGACAAGCCCGAAGTGAGAACTTCAACACTTTTTAAAGTTCAGAATAGCCTACAGTTTCATATCTTTGTTGCATAACACTAGTTCCCTCTTGCCAAAGGTCTCAAGTACAATACAATTAAAAACTTCAACACCTCTGAGAGACACATTGCTCTTTTACAGAGAGGAAGAGAGTAAGGCTAAGTGACACTGCCAAGATCACAAAGTAAAATTCACCCCTGCATGCAAAGCAGGTGTGCACAGGGGCCCACTTAAGGCCACCTGCTGTCTCAGGACATAATCAAACATGAATGCAATCAAAAATAGTTAATTGTGCACACCATCCACATGACCTGAATTCCACCAAGTCACAGACAGAGCCGTGAAGATCTCAGGAGTCCTGCCTCTCAGTCTCTTTTTCTAAGAACTAGTCAACACTGCTTGTCACAGGACAAAAAACCGTGACCATTCTCTCAGACACTATTACAAAACCCACACTGCAATTATTTAAACTTTTTTTGCTGCTCTTACAATACAAATGCAAATACTCGCCCACCTAAAGGAAATAAGTGGTTAAGGAAGGCCAGTATTCTTTAAAAAAAAAGTGAGGAATACCTCCACTAAATATTCACAGCAATCAAGAAAATGAGTGGTTATTCCCAACACCAAAGTGCAAATCAAGGTGACTAAACTTACTCTCAATGGAGGGACAAGATGGGAGAGACTGTCACGAAGATAGGCATAGTGCCTAAAGGTGTGATCTGAGAATAACGCTGGCATTGTTGGGCAAGTTTTAGCAGCATTAAAAATGAGGACAAGAACAGCAATATCTAATTAAATTGTTAAGGAGAAAGGAGGGAAAGAAAAAGGTGATTTTAGATTCTTCAGAGAATGGCAAATTAAACAAACACTGAACAACACTTCCTTGCCTGGAGAGTATTTATGAAGTTCTTTACAACAAGAATGCTGAGCAAAAATAATAATAATAATAATAATAATAATAATAATCATCATCATCATCATCATCAACAGTAGTAAATGTGTGATATAAAGGCACTAAATGTTTCAGTGTGGTCCACAGACTGGTGCATCATCATACTGGTGAAAGCAGAGAAGCAATGGAAGGGAGGAAAGCAAGGGTACATGCTATACACTGTGGTACATGGATACCATGACTGAACACTGACTGTAGAGTGACTCCACAGCCCAGAAGTCAGGACACTTATGTGAGAGCTGGGACACCTGGATTCCAGCACCATATCCAATGAAGATTAGAGATTCTTACCCAAAGTGGAACAGCTCTAAGGAAAGAGGCTGAGGGCATCCTGCCTCCAAACACCCTGGGGCCACAGGGGCTAGGGCAATCTTCTGGGAGCTGGAAGGAGGGAATCCCACTTGTTTCCTCCACAGCCTGCATGAATGCCCTAACCACAGGCTGGGTTTAAAAAAAGTTTCTCCAATACATTTACTGTTTGGTGAATCTACTCCCAGAACATCTTCATCTGAAACTCATTGACTAATTCAATGCAAATTTGCAAATGGTTTTGCTTGAAATCAAAGCCACATTTTGCAGAGAATGACTTCTTCACCAACAAAGCACATTACTGAACTTTACTATGGAGTTCCTGGCTCCCAGTTCTGTGTTAAGACCAACACCTTCTTCTGAAGCAGGAGTTGTACACACAATCACTTGGGGAGAACTTGTGAACCAACCTCCTCTGAACTGGAATAAGAAAAAAATATATATAACTGAAAGAATCTTTTTCCTCCAAGTTCTTCTAATCCTGGCTCAAAAGAAGTTTCAATTTATTGCATTTAACTGTCTGGTTAGGTATAAATTCTTCTCTGAACTCATTTCAGATTCCTTTCATTTCCCTTGGGAGATTCTGGTCGGCAGCCTGGGGACTTGTTGCAACATCTCAGAGAAGAAGAGAGAGAGAAATCTCTTCCAGTCCAACTTTTCTCTGCACACATTGTAAACAATATCATGTCTGCAATTAGACAAGTGAGGAGGATAACCAAAAAATAAAATTTGTATTTTATATTCCATTGTTAATGATGATGATTATGACAATGGTAACTAATTCTAGTGCTTTAGATGTTCAAATGCAAACAGTGACTAAGGATGTTAACCTGTAAACTTAAACTAGAACTTAAGGATTTGTTAAAGAAAACAGAGGCCCAAAGACCATGAATTACAGCACAAATGGACTTCAGCCACCTCTGAATGAAAGAAAGTAGCAAACCAGTGGAATCTACAACAGTGAAATAAGGGGAAGTTTTGGCAAAGGTCCTAAACACCCCCTCCTCAACAAAAGGGTTAAAAGAACCATCCACCTTAACATCAGCACTATGATGGTTTGACCTGATGAACTACAAATGTCATGGTACCCAGTTTATTCTTCTGAGGCATAACTGGCTAATTAGAAGCAGCTGGGATTTAAAAGGATGGTTGCAGGTAGCCTAGTTATTTGAAAACCTGATCCACCCTTGGATGAGTAATAAAACTAAATGGCATAATAAATTCTGAAAACAAGATTTGCCTGCTGTACGCTTTCAGGAGCGTAACAAAATTTGAGAATTAGACAAATAAGTACAGATTCAAAGCTAGCACAACCACTTGACAGCAACAAAAAAAGATACAGGCTGGGTCATCCATATCTGGCTCTGGCGTGTCAAAAAATGGGTGCGTACTCAGCAGCTCTGGGACCAGTGGAAGCACCAGAGTTGGATGTCTGCTTCCCAAGAACTTCAAGCATCTGAAAATGCACAGGCAAGAACACTTTTAAACAAGGGACCATTTAGCAAGACATACATTATTATGAGCTTTGTCTATGTTATTTACTTATACTGCAATAGCACCCAGAGGTACCAACTAGAACCAGGAATTACCCTACTCTGAAGAACAGTCTTAAATATTTCATTAATAGTTTATAAAGCCTAACAAACTGAAAGCATAACTTGAAAACACACAACCCAAAAATATAAGTAGAGGGATTAAAAAAAAAAAAGTCAAGCAACAGGCTGTAACCCTTTTGGGGCAAGAACCTGTCTTACTACATGTCCTTAAAACACCTGGCATATTTTGGGGCAATATATTATGGAAAAAGTCAAATCCTAAATACTAGCAAATAACCACCCCTCCCTTTTAATTATTATATATATTTTAATAATAATACAAGGTAAAAGCCTATTAGGAAAAAAGCAGTTAAAAGAAATACATCTAAGAATCCCCACATTTCCATTTCAATCCAAGAGCTTGATAAGCTTATGTCTCTTGCTTCTGTTTCTTGCTCATCTTACATGAAAGACAAAACCCAGATGTCCATTATAGTGCTCAACTAGAAAACCCCCCTGCATACAACAGGATAATGTACCCACAACCAATATATTTGTCAATTAGTATACGATGCAAAAAGGCAGAGGAGTATAACATTAATATTCAATGAATTCTTTAGTTACCACAAAAAAACCAAAACACTCGTACAACAAACCATAAAACACTTATATTTAAACTTATGAATAAAACTAAGCTACTCTGGAAACCTTGGGAATACTCTGAAGTGACTACTTATGATAAGGGAGAATCAGTGGAGTCATCCTTAGTGGGATTCAACTATATCAGGGGTAGGCAATTATTTGGGTGGGCAAGCCACTTAAGGAGTTCTGGTGACCTACTGAGAGCCACAACTCCTTCCCCTCCTCACCCCTGGCTACAACCAGTGTGGAAACCTGAACCTGCCCTCAACATTAGCACGCCCCCCACTTCTGCAGCTCGAATCCACCCGTTCGCAGCTGTAACACATCCCACCCCCTAAAGTCTAGACCTGGCAGCTGCCAGCCATGTCTACAGCTGCCCAAATGTGGCCGGCAGCTTCCGGGTCAGGGCTCCTGAGGGAGGAGGGTGCTGGGTATGCTATGGCTGTGGGCAGGTTCATGCTTTGGCATGGGTGGCAGCTGTGGCTGCAAAGCACCATGCAGCTGCTAGAGCCAGAGCCACCACCCCCCTGCAGGCCAGATCTGGCCTGTGGGCCATATTTTGCCCACCCCTGATCTACAGGCATGCTAGCAAATATAGCTAGTAGCTATATTCTAATTGAATGTCTACCTCAGGTATCAGTTAAACAATGTTTAGTACCATTTCAGTCCTCAGTTTTGACAAGGGGACAGGGAAATCACATCAGTAGTGGATGAACTTCATTTACATAAAACATCCAGGTATTAAAAAGAATATAGAAGCATCCTAAGAAAATAAACAAGTGAGAACTATGCAGAAAAGCAATACTTGCTTCCAAATGGACTCTCTGTCAGTAGGATACTTAGTTAGGTTTTTCAGTAGCTCCACAAGTGCAAGGTGGATGCCTTCTTTCGTAGAAACATTGGTGCAACAGAGTAGCTCGTGAAGTGCTTCCCGAATGTCTCGGGAGGAATCCTAAAAAACAAGACATGTGGGTGTGTGCATATTTTAAAGATGTTGTCTCTTTTTCTGTGGTTTATAGAATTAAGCCCATAGGTTCCCTGAATCCAACAGTTAAAGCAAAATACACAAATAGGTCAACCAGCTCAACAGCTGCAGCTTCTACTGCTTTTGAACTTAGCCAAGATATCTTATATCAATGCTTCATTTATGGAAATGAATGTGAATTTCTCCACCATTAACCCTCCCAAGCAGAGTGAGTACAGTTGTTGTTGGGTAGGAGTAGTAGTGCCCCCAAGCACAGTCTATGGCAGATATACAGAAGTTCTGGGAAACTACTGCATGGTTAAGATGATAATGGCTGAAAAACCACATTTTCCCTTTAGGAAGAAATGTTCCATTATTCACCATCTGAAAATCAATCCTGAGGGCCACTGAACAGGGAAAAGGCCTCCATTCAGTTCAGTGAAAGATGCTGCTCGCCTTTAGTGGGTTTGCAAACATGCCCCCAAGACATAATGCAGCCTGCAGAATGTTTATTAGTGGTGATAACATACAGACAAGAAGGATGCCAGGTTCAGCTGGTGGGACTGGGAGTTCAGATTATATATAAAAAAAATTTTACACCCCTCCCCCCCGAATAATGCAGTCCAATCACACAATACATTGGAACTGCAAAATGCTGCATTGTTACACCGACCTTTTAGGATGAAATGACACTTCAAGGGGCACTTGGCTGCCAAGAAGTGCCATGTTAACATGCACCGTAGCACCACGGTCTCCCAGCACTGTTCTTAGAAATGTTAGACATGATGCTGTGGCTGAATTCCAGCTTGGATAATTACATTCTATCTGCCTAAAAACACCTTGCAGTTGCAAATCAACATCCCTCGTCTGCCAGTGCTTGGGGCGTGTTGCTCTGCACCACTGTATTTTCATGGTTTACTCCCGAGCCGACTGGATTGGTTTTACTCATGATCTGCTGAGCACAGACAGCCTAGTCAGCACTCTCTCAAACAAAGGAGCAGTGAGGCCTTGCTGTCAAGGAACACAGTCTAAGCAAACAAATCAATGTTCAGAAGCAGTGCAAGGAATGATCAAGGAGGCATGACAGTGATGTTCAGTATTTTTTTTATTTGAGGGTTGGTAAATAAATGGCCACTGTTGAGTGGACTAAACTTCAAAAAGAAACTGTGTTCCATCTAAAGACAGGCTTCAAAGAGATCACAGTGAAAACATCAAACTCCGGGACAGGCACAGGAATCGTAAGAAATACAGCACAGTGACAAAAGTGCAGATGGCCATGAAGGGTTGGATAGCTGCAGGGCTTGGGAGGAGCTAAAACAGAGGGGAATAAGAGACCACAGAAGTGGCAGAACTGAGCAGAAACAAGGAAGTGAAGAAGAGTCCGGGTTTGGTAAAGCACGCAAACAGCAGACAATAGAGCGATCCAAGGAGGAGACAGAGGTAGCAGCAGCAGATGACAAAGCAACAGAATTTGAAGGAAGCAGCAATAGGAACGAACAGCTCCAAACCTATCCCCCTCAGTGCAGTTTTAACTGTCTGTCTAAGTAAAAGTGATTTTTAAAACCACTTATGTTGGAGCCCAAATATGACTTAGCTGCCAAGTTGGGAAGTGTTAGCTAAAGCAGTCTGAGACCTTTCAGGATGAGAGAAGCTATACGGAGACTGTCTGTACATACCTTAGGAACACTGGTTGCCAATCTGGGAGATTAGGGGGTTTTGGTGTGTGTGGAGAGGAAAATCGGGTGGGGGCTCTTCTCCCCACCCCCAGGACCAGGGGCTATTTTTAGCCCCCCAACCCCTCCATGCCCACACAAACACCAACCCCTACTGCAGCAGACCAACCCCTATCCCTCTATCCCCAACCCCAACTTACTTACTTGGCTCCCGGCATTGGCAAACACCAGCAATGCACCAGGAGCAGCTTATGGGATGAGGAGTTTGGCAGGCTTAGGGGTTGTGGAGGAGCTGTTTGGTTCATGGGGAGGGGGAGTAATAGAAAAAGCAAAGCCCTGGGGCTATGGCCAGCAGCTGAGCTCTCTCAGCCCTGAGGCAATGCTGGGATCTGTACAGAAGTTCAGTTAAAATCAGTCTTGCCAGACCCAAATCTAAGTCAGACTACCTCTGAGGTCAACTTAAATTGGGTCAGCCATTTTTAGACCAATCTAGCTGTCCTGAATTTCTCTACATTTCACACTTAGATCCACCTAACTAGGGCTCTAAGTGCAAGGTCCACACCTGAGCAAACAAAGTTAGATGGGGTAGCCATTATTAAACACGATCCAACTTCCCCATAAACCTCCTTGAAGGTCTGTATATACCCCTAATGGTAGCTAAAATATGAAGAATTAGAATAAGAGAAAAAAAGATACAGGCCTAAGTTTTTCAGAAAGACTAATTATTTTAAGTGCCTCAATATAGGAATGCTCAGCTTGAAATACCTTGAAGGGGTACCCAAAATCTCTAGCCACACTTGAAAATTTCAGCTGTGTTCTATGTAGTCTAAAATTTGATTTTACACAGAAAACGTAATAGCTCTAATACTCCTACAATGTACATAGAAAACCCCTCCCAAACAGAGTGCTTACTTCCAAGACAGCCAGCACAGTATCAAGCTGGTCTTCTCGCAGCGTGATGTTGTTGGAGATCTTTCTCATGGTATGTATTGACTGCAATCTCACCTCTTCAATCTCGTCATTAAACATGTCTACTAGAAAATCAAGACATTTCTCTGCAAAAGATGGTGAAGACTGAGCCAGCATACAGAGAGCCTCGACTGCAGAAATCCGAACCTCTGAAAAGAGAAGAAAATGTTATATTGTTCACTTTTTTAACACTGGTCAAAAAAGCCATGCCACCTAATGGCCAAACTAAGCAAAACTCAGGCCTATGATAGAAGATTGCTAAGGAAAACCCAGAGATAATTCAGCAGGTAGAATTCATCCTTGCCAAGCTAGTACTGAATGAATGCCTCTAACCTGGAAGGTATCATCTTCAGCATAATGCATGCTAGTATTTACAAGTGCTGCTAGGGGTACTGTCAGGCACAACACCAAGCCCTTACCTGATGATGATGAGAGATCTTGAGGCATACCATAGTTATTTGCAGGCCACATGCATTTCCCCTCCACCTCCCAGAATTAGCCAGTCAAAATTGGGATGCATGACGAGCCAGAAAACTGATTTCTGTGGTGGACTGGTGGTAGGGAGCTGTGCTCAGCATGGCACTCGGCAGACTCCCAGTCTCAGCATTGCTCTCCTTCCACCTGCTGCAGGGCCAACTCATCTATAGGTTTAACCCTCTGACAACCACTGCTGAATTGTCAGCAGCTGTGTTAAGGAAGCAGCAAGGGGAAGGGCGGGGGGTGACTGACAATGGAACTCCATCCCTGCTACATGTGCCCAAAAGATCCAGTCTTGGCTGAGCCAATGCTGTGACAGGGAAGCCTCTACAGAAATCTTTTCCTACATTCTACCTTCCCAAAATAAGGAGCGTGTTTTATGTGGGGCAGTGGGGAGAGGGGCTGTGGTATATGAATTAATGCAGCATTTTGCAGGACTAGATTTCTAACCCCAGTATCCTGGTCCAACACATTAAGAGCATGGCATTCTACCACCATATATATGACTTGCCCTTTCAATTGGCTGAAGTATTCCTCACTTCCTTCCTCAGCTTGTTGTGTAGTACTCTACATAGTACTGAACAGTAGCATTCATCCAAAAAAGGATTTCACTTCAACACAGTCAAAGCAAAAAGCTAGCTCGTTTAGTGCTTAGAGCCTTTTCCCTTCTACTGAGAAATCCCCATGTGCATGATTAACATCCATGTTATAAGAATGAAGGTGGGGGGGTATATTAGAGACTACATGGTTCAGAACCATAAGCTTTCATAGGCAACAGCCTACTTTTAAAATCTGCTATCTGACAGCGCTTGCTGATGTCTCAGAGCAAATTCTGTATGTTGGCATCTGACAAAGTAAGTTGTTGCCTGCAAAAGCTCATACTTCTCTAAACCTGTTTGTCTCTAAGATGCCACTCTACCCTACCTTCTGCTTGACTTCAGACTAACAGGGCTAACCATCCCTATGCTACTGGACCAGTAGAGATCAAATACTTAGAATTTATTCATAATATACAAATATTGTGTGCATCTGAAGAACCTCCAAACACAGTAAATTTAAGTGACGATAAAAGATTATTTCCCTCCAGTTTCTGTGACACGTGCATCAGAGCAGAAACATAAGAGAGCCTAATCTGAAATTTCGCAATTTATTGTTTAATGAAATTTCTGTTTTTCATCCAAACAAGCTCAATTTGGGAACAATTAATTAGGTTTGGAAATAGAGCAGGTTAGGCTGTATGATGAATTTGTTTTATTCTGATGCCTCTGATTAAGTAGAAAGATGCAACAGAAGAAGATTTCCCCCTATCCACCAACCTCCTCAGCAGTGTTAAGGCACCAGAGATGAATAATTTCACTGACTGCTCTGACAAGCTGGTAGACTAGGAGATGGCTTCAAAAACTGAACATGAAAAGCAAGGAAGCCTACAGTGTTGTGCATACAGTGGGACTGGGAGTAGTGGTCAGAGGTGTGATCACATTATTGAATGGATGCGAGTGCATTCCAAGTCAGACAATTTTACTGACAAAAGTTCTACCGTTTCGTCACCGTGGTGCCAACATTTATGGGGCAGCAGGCTCCACACGGTGGTTTATAAATCCAACACAGCTGTTCCAAGAGAAAGAAAATCTGTTATTGTTAAGCTAGAAAGAACCAAGGCTTTTTGTCAGATCCCAGGATGAGCATGGAAGTGAGAATACCATAAAATATTAGCTGTAATCTAGACAAACCTATTATAGAAGTTGTGGGGTAACAAGACAATCCCTAGACTACAATTTTTACACGGCCACTTTTTTCAAGTATACCCCTCTTCTACCTAATTTAACACCTGCAAAATAAACTGAAAAGCAGCATTCAACAATCACAGCTCAAAAATCTTCAAAATACTTCCCAGATGTTAACCTTTCACATATATCACAGGACTACTGAGAAGTGAGAATTATCTCCAATTTACAGACAGGGAAGCTGGGACAGGTAAAGCAGCCTACTTGAGGCCATCAACAAAGTCTATACGACAGCCAAATCAAAAAAACGTGGATATCCTTCTTCCCAATACTGCAAGGTGGCAGGAGTGGGTGGGGTGGGGTGGCAGGATGCAGGGTCAAGGTGGTCTGGAAATACTGCTGAAGAGCAGGGGTGTCAGACACATAGCCCATGGGCTAGATCGAGCCCACAGAGCCATGTCATCCATCACACAGCCTTGATAGCGGGGTAGGGGGAACCTTCCTGTGGTACAGCCAAGTGCCTGGGAGAGACCTGTGGCACCGGAGTCCCAGCAGCACCACAGGAAAAAACCTGGCACCATGACTTGATCTGCAGCAGCAGCCAAGCACCTGGAACACCAGACTTCTTCCCTAGTCCAGGACCAGCAGGAGCTGGCATGGGGGGATGGGGAGATCCATGGGCATGATTCAGCTCATGGGGCCAGACAAGTTTGACACCCCTGCTCTACAGGATGTATCGATTTCTAGCAAGACTAACAAATGGTTCCAGTTTAGGACGTAATCCAATTATTTACGTGAACTGGAAAACTCCAAATGGGGGTTTTCAACAGTGGAAGCAGCCTCTCTTTTTAAAGGGGTATACCTGGTAGCCGTGTTGGTCTGAGACAAAAAGACATATAAAAAACTAGAACTCTTGGTTCCAAAATACCTTTTATCTCTTTTTAAAGACACTTAACTAAGAATTAGCTGATTCTTAGAAACTACTCATCTCTGGGTACATTCTTGAGTGTTTGACTTGTATCAATACTTATATTACATTACATCAGCTTGGCAAAAGCATGAACAACAGCAAAACGAGGAAGAAAAGCTGCCCACATATTGGGGCCACTGTAATTGCAATGGGAAGAGTTTTGCAATAAGGTATTTCACTATGGAAAATAAAACAGTTTGGGGTAAATGGAATTTTGAAAGGCTACAATACCCCATACATCCTGGACCTTAAATGCAAGTTCTCACTTCTTTACCTACCATACATCTCATCTTCCAGGCCGTGGACAAAGGCCCCACAAGCTCCCGACTCAATCAGGTTCACAGCACCTGTGTCTATTTCTTCTTTGGGGGCATCATCTCCCCATTTTCTGCCACTTGAAAACTCCCCAGAACTGTAGAGTTCTTTGGCTCGTTCATGTGCAGTTCGCTTCCTCTGAACAAACAAATTTTACCGTTGCAAACAAGATTTAAAAAAAAATGAATGACTGATATACTGAATAGTCTGTCCTAATTCCACAAGAAGGTGTAAGTAGCAGTTTCAACATTGATAATAAAGAGAGAGGCATCATTACCAAAACTGAAAATTACCATCTCCATATTTGAAAATTAGTAATCACAACAACAGTTTGCTGGGAAAGGGCAAATAGTTTAATTTACACATTGTTAAATGTCACTTTGCTATTACACCTGTTAAGCTGTGGTTAAATCCTAATACTGATGCTACTATTTTTGTCCATCTTACATGATTTATGACAACCTATTGATTAAAATGTGTCAGTCAGCATCATTTGAAGTGTATGTGTGTGTGTGTGCGCACACACATAATCTTAGAGCACCTTCCATACAAGGTTCCAAAGCACTTTACAAAGATTAGTGAATTTGGAATGATCACCATTTTATATGGAAAAACTGAACCAAATGAAGGGTTTCTCTCAAGACATTAAGTGAATCAATCATAGCCAGTAATAAAATCCCAAAGTCTCCCAATTCTCAGCCACTTGCTTTATCTGCTATCACTTGAAATGACCAGCAAGATCCTGCGTTTTCCCACCCATTACGCTCTGCCATCTGGCACACAAGGGCTAGGAATGGGTTAGGAAATTTGGTAACCCATTTCCCCCACTACTGAATTTCCATGAAAAGCCCCAGGCCCTCTGCACGCTAGATCCGGCACCCAAACCGAGCGCACAGGGCCAGGTGGGGGCAGGGCTGGGCCCGAGGACCCAATCCCAGCATGTGGGGAGTGGAAGGGGCCACTGCCAGTGCTCTAGAACCCAATCTCGGAGCATGGGATGGGGAAGAGTACAGTGCCAGGACCCGTGGCCAGTCCAGCCTCCAGATGGCCTGATCACGCCCACAGGGCCAAAAGGTTGGGCAATAATAGTATAGCTTGTTCCAAAAACTAGAACTTCATCTTCTTGTTGTAAATGAAAAGCCATACAACTACAGGGCTGTTAGATGTGCTTCCTAATGTTCCCCTCACCACCAAAATCTAAAATAGCCTAAAGCAGTTTATTACAAGAACACAACAACTAATGAAACCTAAACTGGAAAATGTTTCACTGACTTTAATCTAACAGAAAACCTGTCATCATCAATTAATTCTCACTTGCCCCGAGGTGTGAACTGGATAAACAAATCAGCTTGACATTAGCATACCTGTTGTACAACTGCAATACACTATGCATAGTACAAGATAATGAAGACAATGTTCACGTACCCTCAGATCAGACATCAGCTTCTTGTCAAGCGTCTGTTCTAAGAAATGGGAACTCACTTGCTGCATAGATCCCTAGAAAAAAATCCCAAGAATGACAAAGAAACACAATTTTTCGATTTTAACACACCAGAATCTGTTAACTAGCTCTCCCAGCATAGATAGGCCCAATTTCCATGTATTAAGGATAATATGTAAGTACTCATCTCCACAGTATTTAGGAGAGTAAGAGTTTGAGTATCTGCTTATAAGTTAATTTTGCCCAGTCTATTCTCTCCAAAATCTGTATCACTTGAGGATCACAAGTCTGGGCTTTAAGTGGTAGGATGAGAGAGTTGGGAAAAGAGTATCTGTTTGTGTTGGGGAACCCATACTTCACAGGAAGGACAACTATAGAGCCCAGCCTGGAATCCAGTTTCTAATGTTCTGAACATAAGTAATCCCCACCCCCACTTTCACCTTGAAAGTGCCTTCAAGTTGTGGCAAAAATGAATTGGTCTAAACACTGGACTATGCACTACCAACCAGCAACAAAACCCAATGTTCTCCTCATACCTCCTAAATCAAACAAACATTATGACCCTCTATGAAGATAAGAGAAAAATTAAACTTACCAACAGTTTAGCAGCTTGCACTCTAACAACCCATGAGCCATCGCTGACCATGTGACAAATTTTTCCAAATGCATCATCCACTAGGCGGATTTCTTCATTGGAAGATGGAATCGGGACAATGCTGATCAAGACAATAGCACATCATGTAAACTATATTGCTGAGCTTTTGTATAAAATGTTATTCATAGTAAAAGCCATCAAAACAAAGAATAATGCTATACATCTATTGCTGTAACACAATGATTATAAGGAAGAGTCCCAAAGTTTTCTAGTCTAATCTCTCTGCCCCTTTTTGATTTAAGCAAGTATACAGGCATTTAATATCCAACAATCTTTTAAAGAGCAACTCTGTTTGACACAGAAAACTCAAAGAATGATACCTCCTTCACTTTTCTCTTAACTTTCATATGGTTCATACCTTTCTGGATACAGCTGACTGAGGACCCATACCAAGTGAACTGCGGCACTGCGCACTTGTTCATAATCATCTGAGAGCAGTTTGCAAGCCTGCAATTAAAGTTTCCAAATCAAATACGCCTTAAAATCCTCCACCAAGTTCATTAAAGTTCTCATGAATCTCTTATAAAGGCTGTTTTATCAGCTAGGTAAGGTTAAAGGTCAAAATACATTTGGTCTCCCCATCGAGTCCCAACCAGAATGTTGTCCTTTCCACTAATTCTACGTAATATCTATAGGCTCAGTTCGGTCTAACTCAGGAGAGCCTTTGGACTAACTGAATTAAAAGAGAAGTGCAAAGAATGTTTGATAGCATCTATCCTCACTACAAGGATCTATCATTCAGGTTATTCTCACTTTCATAGGTCTTGATCCTGCAACCTTACCCATGCAAGTGAACCCATATCACATCTGAACTTCCAAAGGATTCTATATATGCACACTGCAGGCTATAATTAAATGCTTTACCCCAACTCTCTCTGCCCTCCAGTAGAAATATACATCTGAGCACTAACAAGATTTGAAAAAGACTTGCATTTTCAAACCTAGGTTACTAAAAACAATGATGTATGGAACTTGATTATAACCTCAGAAAGCAAATACCTCTCTGTTCATGGACTCTGAACATACTACTTCCCCTCCCCAGACTCTTGGATTGCACAGAAACCAAAAATAAATGCTCTAATATTAAACATAAAGCACTACCTGGCTGTAAATAGTCTGCTGCAATTTTAATCCTCTTTCATGCAGCTGCAGCTAGAGAAAAAAAAACACCCAATATTAAGATCAGAAATGTTAAGCAAAACATTCCATGTTCCTTGCTACTCTCCTGCCATTTGATTGTCTTTAGCTACTTACTCTCATTGATTCCCTCTATATTTAACCAGGAACTCTACTGAGTTATTAACCATCTCATTTTATATTATATAAGCAAGGCAATTTCTCCCTGCAAAATTGTAACCCCAGGTCTGAAATACCATATTTCTTTGAATACGACTCTCCTGAATTTATGACATACCAAAATTTCCTGAGTCTCAATTTAACAAAGCAAAATGAAACAAAAACAAAACATTATAGAATCACAGAATCCATGCTCCTATTTCTATCAAATAAAGGCACATTTACGAGAATATAACATCTATGATGCTTAAGACAGTGTTAACTTTTTTAAAATTCTAACTTAAGCAGCATTTCATTATAAAAACTGCTTCATATATTCAAAAGACTCCAGTAAATCAGACGGGACTTCCACACTTCCGTTCATTCCTTTTTAAAGGAAATATGTATTTGGTAAAGTGTTATCAGCCGTCCCTAGAAATAAAATGCATTTAACTTTTCTAAACTGGCTTTTACATATGATGAACTTCCAATGAGATTATTCTAAAGAAAAACGATCAACACAGTAGCAAGAAAATGCAGTCAAAATTGTCAGGAGTGGGTAAGTAATTTTGAGTGCCTCTAAAAACTGTTACGAAGTTTTAAAGAACAGACTATATAAAACACTTGTCTCAGATGGTTTAGGTAAGAATGATCCTACCTTGAGCAGTGGGTTGGACTAGATCGAGGTGGCCAACCTATGGCATGTGCGCCACAAGTGGTACTGGTAGTCTGTGTGTGTGGCATATGGCAGACCAGGGGAGAGGCAACAGTGGGAGACAGGGCAGGGAGCAGAAAGCAGAGCAGCAAATCAGGAAGGATGCACAGGGCAGGGGGGGAAAAGCACCGCAATCAGGGAAGGAAAAGTGATGGGAACATCACTCAAAGAACGTCTTGAGATAATTTGTGGCACACCTGCCAAAAAGATCACCTCCATTAGATTCAAACTCCTGAGGTCCCTTTCAGCCTCACTTTTCTATCATTCTATGCATCTAGCATAACTGAGGCAAAGAAAGATTTCATGCCAATCTAAAACGCGAGTGCTATGGTTACTGATACAAAAAACTGCAGCCACAACAGTGAAAATGTTATGATACTCTTTTAAAAAAATAAAATATTGTGTAAGACCCTGGCGCGCTCTCCCACTTATTCAAGATCCATTTTATTGTTACTTGAGCAATGTTAATTTCCACACTAATCAAAATAATTTACCACATCACCTCCCTGTCTGAATTCCTCTGGATGCATTTACCGTCTTGTACAAGTCCTCTTATAACCGGCCACCCAATTTACTCCAATGCACCAAGAGCATTTACCATAGCTTTTATAGCTGCAGTCCTAACACGTGGGTCCTGGTCACTGAAGTGGTCCCCAATTATCTTCTGGACATCCTTAGTAGCTTGGCTTTCTGCTTCTTTTGTAACACCTTTTTCCACAGATCCAAGATAGCCTATTAGCTGGAGGCACTTGTTTCGTACACCATGGGAAGCGTCTGTCAGATGCTATATAAATAGGAGAACACAAGATATAACTGGGAGCTTTTATCTTGGCCGTTTCTTCCCTCAAGCAAAGAGACACTGGACAGAGATTAAGTCTCCTAATAGTTTTAAGTTAAAATAGTGGTTTGA